ATCTGAGGGACGTGTCCTCTTAGGGACATGTCCTCTGAGGACATGTGTCATCTGAGGGACGTGTCCTCTTAGGGACATGTCCTCTGAGGGACGTGTCCTCTGAGGGACAGGTCCTCTGAGGGACGTGTCCTCTGAGGGACGTGTCCTCTGAGGGACATGTCCTCTTAGGGACGTGTCATCTTAGGGACGTGTCCTCTGAGGGACAGGTCCTCTGAGGGACAGGTCCTCTGAGGGACAGGTCCTCTGAGGGACAGGTCCTCTGACAGCTGAGGTTCAGTTTAATAAAGTCAGACTTTCCTCTGCAGGTCTCTGAAGACCTGTCCTTGTTGTGTCTCACAGGAATGTTTGTCTGAACTCTGACCTCTGACCTTTGACCTGAGACAGGGGGACGCTCCTGGGAGCAGATAAGACCTGTTATCAGGTCTGAGGACTGACCTCTGGTTTCTGGCTCAGTCTCTGGGACAGCAGGCACAGGATGATGGAGCTGGACCCCAGAATGCTGCAGAGACAAGAAGAGACGTTCAGTCGGAGCGGACCCTGGACCCAGGACCCTGGACCCTGACCTGTGAGGGACAGGAACCCACCTGAGCAGAGCCATGCTGAGCTGGATCCAGCTGACGGCCTTGTAGACCTGCAGACCAACACCAGGGTTTAATTACCCACACGGTTCCTGCACGCAGAGCTGCAGGAGCTAAAAATAAACCTGAAGTTTCCTTTAATCTGCACATGTTGAAGTGAAAGTTTGACTCAAACACTCAACCAGTTCAAAACCTGAAGTTTGGACTGCAGTCAGGATTTAATCTAATCAGATTATTTTAAACTCATGAATCCTGTCAGTCTGAGAACTGGGCAGAAAAACCCACAAACACACAAAACAAATAAAACCTGTAAAACAAACCCTGAAATAGTTGTTTTAAACAGAAATGTTCCTGAAGTTAATAATGAGTCAGAGGATTCCAACGACAGATTATTAATCTGAACAACTAGATTATTAATCTGAGCAACTATCAGATAATTAATTAATAAATAATTAGAGTTCAGACTCACGTTGGTCCAGTCATGAGCTCCACTAAAGTTAGTCTCAGAACCGTTAATGAAGGTCTGCATCTCTGAGGAGGACATGATGAAGACTGAGGACTGCAGAGCAGCAGCAGCATTTATACTGCAGGGGCGGGGCTTACACACTGACTCCGCCCACTGAAACCCATCTAAACCCTGAGTCACAGCAGCTGCTTTACTTCAGTTTAAAGTCAATTTAACTCAAACTAATCTGATTATTTCTGTAATTATTTACCAAACAAAGACGTTTCTGCTCAGACTGACTGTTTCAACAGAAAATAAAGTTTTAAACAGTGAAAACTCTCAGAGTTGCAGTTTAAAACTGTGAAAATGTGTTTTTCATAAAACAACAAAATTTATAAAAAAAAAGGTTCAAACTGATGAAAACCAAAATAAAAAACAGGATCTAAACTATTTTATCTTTTCATTCTGGATCAAAAACTTATAATCCCTGATGGATGAGATGATTTATTCAACAGAACTTCTTCCTGTTCAGAGTCGGGATTCAAACCCTCGACTCTGAGGCCAAACAAGGAGAACCTGATGAAGTCTGGAACAGAAACAGGACTTTATTCTCTCCTAGTTTTAATTTTTAGATAAATAAACAGATCCTGTCCAGAGTTCAGGGAGCTCCAACATCAAGTTCATGATACAAGTTTTAATTGTTCTGATTATTTCATGAGGGGGCGGGGCCAAACGGTCCTTCATCCTGATGAAGACGAGGAGGAGGAGGATGACTGAAAGTGAAAAAGGAAACAGGAAGTCAAGAAGAAAACAACGTGTGGACGCTTCAGAGTCCACTTCCTCTCAACAAGTCTGTGGGAATTTCTGTCTTAACATAAGAGAACCGGGTCAGAACTGGATCAGAACCACACCAGAAGTCACCTGTAGTGATGGTTCAGACTCTGATCACGTGATCCGGTTCACAGGTTTCTGAGACAGACCTGGTCCTGGTCTGATGGGCTGCTGAAAGCTCAGAGGCGTGCAGGTCTCAGCGGGTCTCAGCAGGTCTCAGCGGGTCTCAGAGGGTCTCAGCAGGTCTCAGCGGGTCTCAGAGGGTCTCAGCAGGTCTCAGCAGGTCTCAGCGGGTCTCAGCAGGTCTCTGCGGGTCTCAGCAGGTCTCAGCAGGTCTCAGCAGGTCTCAGCAGGTCTGAGCAGGTCTCAGCAGGTCTCAGCAGACCCCGGTCTGGGCAGACCCTGCTGGGACCCGGCCTCCTCGTGTTTCTTCATGTGCTTGCGGTAGATCCTGGCCCCGCTCAGGTTCTTCTGGCAGGCGTGGCAGAAGTAGGGCCGGGCGTCGGAGTGCGTGTCCACGTGGTAGGTGAGCTCCAGGGCCCGGCTGAAGCTCTTGCTGCACAGGGGGCACTGGAAGCGGACCCCCGAGTGGATCATCTGGTGGCTCTTGAGCACGCAGAGCTGCTTGAAGGACTTGTGGCAGACGGGGCACTGGTAGGGCCGGGCGTCGGTGTGCACCCGCAGGTGTCGGCGCAGGGCGCTGGAGAAGGTGAAGCTCTTGCTGCACACGCTGCAGGTGTAGGGTTTCTCTCCGGTGTGGATCCTCTGGTGCTCCTTCAGGTGGGCCTGCTGCACGAAGCCCTTCCTGCAGGTGGCGCACTGGAAGGGCCGCTCACCTGAGTGCACCCGCAGGTGTTTCTGCAGCGCCGAGGCTTTGAAACAGTCCCGCCCACACACCGGACAGCTGTGTTTGCTTTTCCCGCCAGAGCCGCCGTCTGTGGGCGGAGCCTCAGCTTCTGAAGACACGTCTGGTTCTGTCAGACACACACAGAGGACTCGTGAGACCAACAGTCTGAGACACATACACAACTGCACTGAGAATACACAACTGCACTGAGAATACACAACTGCACTGAGAATACACAACTGCACTGAGAATACACAACTGCACTGAGAATACACAAATACTCTCAGTAAAAACAAATACTTAAAACTCCTAATGAAGACTTTCATGTAATCTGTTATATCATGTCTGTAATCATTTTAATCTATCTTTGATCTGTTTTTGGATTAAAACAGATCAAAGACAAATAAAAACAGATCAAAGACCGATCAAAAACAGGTAAAAACAGATCAAAAATAGATAAAAAACAGATTAAACAGATTAAAGAAAGTTTAAAAACAGATCAGAGATAGATCAAAGACAGATTAAAGACAGATTAAACAGATTAAAAACAGATTAAAGACAGTTCAACATTAAACAAACTGTAAAAACTAAAGACGTACCAACTTTCACTGGCTTCCACTGCTCCTCCTCTCCTTCAGAGTTGATCAGACCGCTGACGTCCTCCTCACGCCGCTCGCCCCCCTCCAAGGCCACGCCCACCTGGTCACCAGCCTCAGGTTTGGACTGGGGGGCGTCGGGCTCGGCGCTGTTGGTGCAGAGGTCCTCAGAGTCCTGCAGGGTCAGGGACAGGATTCAGTTTGACAGGTGGAACAGGTGGAGGTTTCTGAAGAGATGAAAGAGTTCCTCACCACCTCCACCTTTATCACCTCTTCCTCCTCCTCTTCCTCAGTCTTCACCTGGAGCCAAAACTCCTGAAACACAGAAAACAGGTGCCTCATCAGGTGGGTGAGTCCAGAGGACTCCCCAGGACCCTCAGGACTCCAGGGTCACCTTGTCTGCAGGGTCTGGGATGACCCCGTCCCGGATGTGGACCCTCATGTGTTTTCTCAGCATGTAGGGCTTCATGAAGCTCTTGGAACAGATGCTGCAGCTGTGAGCTTTCTGCCTCTTCTTATTGGCTCTCTTTGTGCTCGCCGAGCTCGGGGGCGGAGCCTCTGCTGCTGCTGCGCCGCCGCTGCTCTTCAGGTGGTCCTCCAGCAGGGACGGAGTCAGGGAGGTCTTCACCCAGACAGAGAGAAAGACAGGTTTTAGATTTGACAAAGAAAAAGGCTTAAACACCTGGAACACCTGTCTCTCTCTCTGGAACACCTGTCTCTCTCTCTCTGGAACACCTGTCTCTCTGTTCTCTGGAACACCTGTTTCTCTCTCTCTGGAACACCTGTCTCTCTCTCTCTGGAACACCTGTCTCTCTGTTCTCTGGAACACCTGTCTCTCTCTCTCTCTGGAACACCTGTCTCTCTCTCTCTGGAACACCTGTCTCTCTCTCTCTGGAACACCTGTCTCTCTCTCTCTGGAACACCTGTCTCTCTCTCTCTGGACCACCTGTCTCTCTCTCTCTCTGGAAC